AGTGTGGGCAGTGGCTGAGGGTAGGAGCAGGAATTAACAGCAAAGCAGCATGAGGACATTTACTGGGCTGATGAAAATTGTTCTAAAATGGATTGCAATCATGGTTGCACAACTCTACACAGTCACTAAAACTACTGTACGTTTACAATGGGTAAATTCTATGGAGTGTAAACTATACCTTAATACAACTTTTCTTCAAAGTACCAAGACATCAAAGTCTTAGAAATTACTATTTAAAAATGCACTGGCTTGGGCCAGGCACGGTGGCCCAAGTCTGTAAACCCAGCACTTTGAGAGGTTAAGGCGAGTAGATTGCCTGAGCCTAGGGGTTCGAGATCAGCCTGGGCAAGTTGGTGAGACCTCGTCTCTACCATTTATCAAAAAATCAGCTGGGCATGGCAGCATGCACCTGTTGTTCCAGCTGCTTGAAAGGCTGAAGCATAAGGATCGCCTGAGCCCAGCAGGTCGAGGCTGCGGTGGCCATGAGGATGCCACTGCACTCCAGCCTGGGCAACAGAGTGAGGCTCTGACCCTAAAAAAAAAAAAAAAAAAAAAAAATCAAACAAATCCGCAATGAATTCTAATAAACTATCAGTATTAAGAACATTAGCATTTGCTTGGAAACTAAGCATGCTACTTTTAAAGGAGCCCCACGACACTCCTCTGTAAAACCTGATTAATTAAGCCTCTTTTAGCTAAGAGTCACATCATTATGTGACAAAGTCACTGTCAACAGCTTCCCTCAGCATGGTCTCTCAGCCATTCCATGAGTTTTCTGCCAACTTTGTCTTATCGTACTCCTTTTTCGTAAAAATCTCTAGCTTGATGTTGCCCAAATCTTCCATTAGATTCAGTTTTCTCAGAATATGTTACGACCTGAACTTTTAACACTTTGTATGAACATGCATTGATATATACTTTCTAAATACCACACGTATTTTCCTTGTTTGCTCATTAAGCCACTCACATGCTGCCCCTGATAAATTCAAACATTTAATTCTTTTAAGTCAGGCCTTGTTTTCACTATTTTGGCTAAATATTCTGCCTAAATAGTGCCGCCTTCTGTGTTAAGACTGGCTCTAATTTCAGCCAGACTCCATTTCTTTCCATTCCACTGACGATTTGCCAAAGAGATAATGTGCCCTCTAAAGCCAGCCATTAAAAAAATTTCTTTTTACTGCGTATTTTTTCCCAAACCAAATCTCATATGAAAGACTAATATCCTCCAGCAAATAAAAGTAGAAAGCTATAAAGGAAGAGGCACCCTGCCATGGCCTAGCCGCATGAAAGACAGCAGTCCCAAGTTACAGCTTGAAAATCAACGCTCAATATTACAAGCTACAATGTGCTTTCTGCACAGTACAACTACAAAAAATTAAACTGAAAATACCTAAGCAATGCTTGAAACAAGAGAAACCTGAACATATTTATATTTAAAATACTTGTAAAAATCTCAATTAAAGAAATAGATGACTGTAAAACTATTCCCTTTAAATAACTTCTCTTTAAAACTCCATAAATATAGACATTACTTATCAGAAATTCCATTTGTTACAAAGGCTGTGCACCTTTTATCATAACTTCCTTATTTATGAGTTTTTTTTTTAATGGAAAATCAAAAGCCACATTAACAAAAAATGTTGAACCTAGTGGAAAATTGTCAAGTAAATGAGTCAATGAGCAAGAAATGCCACTTATCCAACAGGCAGTAAAGAAAGTAAGATGACAAGTATGCACTAATAAAACCATCATAGAACAGTATTATGAGTTTGAAAAAATAACACTATCTGCCTCCACAATCAGGTACAAATAATGCAAATATTCAACAAAAATGCCAGCAAATAGTAAAAAAAACCTGGAAAAGGGATTTGTACTATTGAGAATTTTCAAATCTGTCTTAACTAGAAAATAAATACCCTTTTCCCAGAAATCAAACGTGTCATGATAAATAATTTCATCACATTTCTGTGAAATAAAAATATAAATTATTGCTATGATTGTAAAAATGGAGTCAATAAAGAGTTCAGAAATATACTCAAGTTTAGACTCAATTAGATGATAAGCCATAATTTGAACCCTGATTATCACTTTATGTAGCAATCGCAATTCAGGTTTTGGCCCTCAGTTATCAAGATATATGTTAAATAGTTCACAGTTAAAAACATTTTATCATTACATTTCCAAATTTGGTAAAATCTTATCAAAATATCTAAGTATTCAATATGTTATATTGTTAAAAATATAACACTTAAAGAAAACTGCTGAGGAGCCAGATAAGTATTTTCTATTAAATATACAACATTTAACATTTAGAACTACATAAATTAATTCTTGCTGAAAGTTGATGCAGTTTTACAAAGGCATAATTTGTTAACCATAATAAACTTCCCCAGCAGCACTTTTTTTATTCCAAAATTCTTTCAATGAGGTTTAACTTTCTTCTGTTCCTCATATGTAAAAATTAATGTTTGAAATATGTAGTCTTGATAGCAACATGTTTAAAAATCTAAGCAAAGTTTACATTAAGCTAGCTACAACTAAAAGTTTTTGATGATCATCAAATAAAAAAAAAAATAAGTGAAGCTGGGCTTGGTGGCTCAGCCTGTAATCCTGCGCTTTGGGAGACTGAGGTGAGTGGACTGCCTGAGCCCTCGGGATCGAGACCCGCCTGGGCAACTTGGGGAGACCTCATCTCTACAATAAATCAAAAAATTAGGGCGTGGTAGCACATATCTGTAGTTCCAGCTACTTGAAAGGCTGAGCAGAAGGATTGCCAGACCCCAGCAGGTCGAGGCTGCGGTGGCTGGGAGCGGCCACTGCACTCCAGTCTGGGTGACAGAGTGAGACTCCAACTCAAAAAAAAGGTGAAAACTTCATTCACTTAGTTCTTTCTGAGTGAAAAAAAACAGCGAACCTTGCTTAAATAAGAATTCTCCAGTAAAGATGTCATGTAAAAGAGTTCACATGTTATTTCGTTGAGTAAATTTACTTTCTCTCATTAAAACTTTTTAACAGTCTAAGAAAGGACACATACTTACAATGCCATATTACACAACTACAGTATTTTTAATTAAATAAAGCAGCCCAATATAACTGTAAACATTTGAAATGTAGTAAACGAGACTTGGCATGTCTTTTCTTCCTAAAACCTGCCATTACAATGCTCTTTCCATGAATAATTATTCTTCCTGGAAAAAGTTTTCAGGTATATTTTAGTCTATAAAAAAATAATACACTGAAATAATTTGTGAAAAAATTTAGTCATGGCAATCTTACTGAAGCTTTTATTGCCTCTGTTGGTAATATGACAGGGATTTTAAGAAACACGATTCAGCTTACAGAGATATGCAGATGATATTCATTAAAGATAATCTTGATCTCAAGTATTTTTATATGTGGGCACTTCTAATTTTATACATTTTACTATTTAAAAAGCATTACATTTTAAAATGTGTATCTGTTTTGACATTTGGCAAAAAGGAAACTGTACCTATGGTTCAGTTTAAAACAAAGAATCAGCATGGGGAGTTTACCAGAATGAAGACTGAAACACTTATGAGTTAAAGTTGTGTGTGTGTGTGTGTGTGTGTGTGTGTGTGTGTGTGTGTGTGTGT